GAGACGGTAAAGAGGCAGCCCAAGTCACAATGTCTGTCAGCGCTGGTCTCTCCCATCTTCAGAGAGGTAAACACGCACAAAACTCGCCTCATATATATAATCAAACACCCTGACTGGATTTGTCAGGGCCAAATGCAGTGCACTCACTGTAACTCTAACACTATCACTTTTTATCACGGTAGCAGCAGATAAGGCAGCAGTAAAGTGTAATAAACTGTGATAAGCTCTATATGTTGTAGAGTTAAATGTAAGTCTGTCTTCTCTCCAGCTGAAGGAGAAGAGGAGGGCATGTGGAGGAGGAATGGGTGCCATAGAGGAGCTGGAGAATGCCTTCAACCTGGCAGAAGAGTCCTGTCCTGGCATCTCTGACCTCCTGGTCACACACATGATGGAGAGAGTGTGCAGGTGAGTGGATCTTTAAGAAAAAGTACAGTGGTATAGAAAATATACCACTATACAAGTAAAAATTGCATTTGAATGTAATATTTAAGTAAAAAAAAAATGTTTTATTAGGTTTGCTCTGAATGGCAACACCACACCATCATCACGGTGAAGACACGCCTCTGCTGCTGCTGCTCCTTCCTCCTCCCGCACTAAATCATCATCATCATCATCATCGCCCCATCAGGACCACAATACAACTGCCCATCATTCATCCTCTCTTACCCCCGGAGATCTTTTAATTAGTTATGATTAAATATTTTTACAGTTTTCTTTATCGAATGGACAGTATTTAAGAGAAAAAGCCATGTCATTGAGCGAACTGTGTTTACCTGTTAGATCGAAATCCTATTATAAAGTGTTTATGGAAACATGTTTGTGTGGTTATTGGTGTGAATTGTGGTAAGTTTAGATCTCTTCAAATATTTGGTTACACTTTATTTTAGGGTGTCCTTGTTACAGTGTAATAGTACATTGAAGTACTGAGAACAACATTAACAACGTACTTACTATAGGGTTGGATTCAGGTTTGGTTTAGAGTTAGCTGCATTTAATTATGTATAATTTACTGTTATTGCTATAGTAGGTACATTTAATGTTAAACAAGGCCACTGTATAATAAAGTGTTACCAATTATTGAAGTTAAAAAAAAAAATTATAAAATGCATCATAATGGAAAGCTCGTCCTCAGGGCACCAGCAGCATAAACAGTTATTTATAAATAATGTACTACACTCTTATTTTTTTTTTATAAACAAATCCAATACTACAAGCCAGTTTTATTGACGTGGTATAATTAGTTACCCTCATGGGAAAAAACATGAATAATGCAATATTATTATTGGTTCCTGTTATCAGACAGTAAAACAATTGGCTCAAAGATTTCTTTAAAGTAAAGTTTTAATTATTCTCAGATGTCCATTATTAAAAAACATACGCAAATTATATTCCAGTTGTAGCATGGATCAAGAGCTCTTCCACTTATCTTTTTGATTATTTATTTTATTATTATTAAACTATTACTGTTAAGTCAGTTCTTGGTCCAAAATTATCTCAGATGTCCATTATTAAAAAACATACGCAAATTATATTCCAGTTGTAGCATGGATCAAGAGCTCTTCCACATCTTTTTGATTATTTATTTTATTATTATTAAACTATTACTGTTATTAAGTCAGTTCTTGGTCCATTGATGTTGCCTGGCAGGATGTAACTTGGACACTCACTACGATTTAGAATAGTTTTGTGTTTTGCAGCAGGCTGTCTTAACCTAACTTCGTCAAAGTTCTTTCTGCTAGCTAGCTAATTACTTAAATGAACTGCCTTACACTCAAAGCAAGTTCACTAGGTAGGTATTTTCTTCTGCATAGTAGTTGCTGGAGTGCTCAAGGCCTTGTGTAATTGTTTTTATAGTCTATGGTAATTGCCCAGCTCCTTTATTAACATATCAGGTGCAGAGTTTGTGCTATGCTCTTCTGTCGCACTTGGGTGTCAGAATTGTGTGTTGTTATTTGACTGTCTACTAAATATACTACTAAATCGCTTACAGGTTTGAAACAAGTGAAGGGTGAGTAAATGATGACAAAATTTACAATTCTGGGTGAACTAGGCTTTAAAATAATATGATTAAAAAAACATGCTAAAAAAAAAGTCACTACATGGGATTCCACATCGAGCCTCTCACATCTACACTCTTTCACAATGTCAATGAAACTGCCCATCTATCTTTAGTTACAAAACCAGAACGATGTTACTTCTAAAAACCTGTGAATATTTAAGGCCTTAATCGTTGCTGATCTTTATCATGTTATAATTCACGACCTCTAGCGACCATCGGGAGAACTGATTTGTTCTTAACTTCCTGTATTGTGGTCTGACTTTAACAGATTATTGAAAAAGGATAAACTGTAGGAGGGGGGCTCGGTTTTATCCATTGATTGTTGATCAATTAAATTTGTAAAAAAAATAAATGAAACACATGAATCGTTCACAATAAGATCAATAGCTGTTTCCATCCTCCTATTTTTATGCAATTTTGGGATATCACATATCCCAAAATCCCCCCCCCCCCCCCCCCAAAAAAAGCAAACCCCAAAACTGTTTCAATACAAAATTTTATTAATTAGACAATAATGGTTTAATAAAATTATCAAGGGAAACATTAAAACTGGAATTTTAACAACTGCAGAGATTTCATGACCAAATATGGAAAGCAAATTCAGCTGTATAAAAGTTCGGTTTGCTTTTGCGTAACGTATAGAAACCCATATTTCAGATATTTAATTTAAACATTGTAATTATTCGTTTATTATATGGCAATTTGATTCAACCACAGGAATATAAAATATTTAACCATAGATCCCAAAAGGAGGGGGTAAAAACTTGGCATGCATCAAGGTCAAAGAGCACAACAGCATATTTCGATGTATCCAAATGTCACTTCCACTAAGTAAATTTCACATTGCACTCAAACCAGAACAATGTCTGATAGTACAAACATGACAGTGTGCACTCCGGTACAAATAAAAATCAGCAAAACTAGCTTTAACATTAGAGAACAATGTATTCTTCTTCATTAGACGGCATAGGGAATGAATCATGGGTCACAGTATAATGTTTTGCATCAGTTTGGGGACCATTCAACTGAACAGCACTTATATTTCAAGACTTCATGCAGGGAAGAGAGATGTACTTCAGAAAAGTCCTGTACAGGATGACAGCAATCTCTCTGGCAACACTTAGAAACAGCATAAAATGATTTCTTAAAAAAAAAAAAAAGCACCACGTGACACTCAAATTCAACAGCTGCTTGTATTCTCACAGTGTTTGTTTAGCTAGATGGGACAGAAATGAATTTGAGTGGTCATGGAGCTACACTACTAATAAAGGTGCTATACAGTAGAAGATTCCTTCCCAGCAGCATTTGGCTTTTGTAACAGATTTTTTTTTCTTAATTACTGATGGTTGCGCTTCATTTTTGGTTACTGGAACAGGAAAAAAAATGAATGAATATCAGCAACAGCATTTGAATAAAATACCAAAACAAAACACTTAATACTGCTTAAAAAAAATGTGACAAAAAACATTAAATCATACAAGAGTGAAAGAAACTAAGAAAATGGCAAGCAAGATGAGCTAAGGACCGGTCTCTCCTCTTTCTCCATATTTAGCAACACTTCCTCCTCTCGTTCCGTGTCTGACTGGCTCAAGCTCGAATGACCGGTTTGCATCTGTAAGAAACACAAACAAAAAACAGCCCCCCAACTGCATATTTAATAACAAAAATAAATAGCCAACTTTTCTCTGAATAGTAAGTTACTCAATGTTACTTTTATGCAACATCTGCAGATTTGTGTAGAAATACATGAAATACATCAGCGATTCACAATCACGCTGTGTGAAATGAGTTCTGACTGAAAAACACATCGGCGATGACCTACAGCCAATGAGAGACCAAGATACAGGGCAGCGGGAAGTTCGGGGAGGAGTTATATGAAACGTAGTTTGCGGACCAGTGTTGCCAAATCCGCGATTGCCGC